TGAAGCAGAGATCTGACAGTAGGTCCAAGTGAGGAATAATTGATATTAAACATTGGGAAGCCCATCGAAAGACACCAGGAATAAAAAAAATAATGCAAATAGATGAATCAACCTGGAAGGCCAGGACCATTATTGTTTGCATGATATAGGCAAGTCTGTACTTGTTACATATATGTATATATGTTTCTTTATTGAAGTGTTAGGACTTTAGCTCATTTTTCTTTTTTCTCCAAGCTGCCAGTTAGTTAAAATAATTTTCCCCCATAACGCAAAACTATTAAAACTGGGGTTAGTTCAGTGTTTTTGCCTGTACTTTTCTGTGTTACTCATCTTTGGTTGTGTTCTCATGTTCATCGAGCATGCACACTTTTTTACATTTACGGACCACTGTCACAAAAATATTATATTCTGATATCTCTTATGGTTAAAGACAAACTTCAGGCATTTAAACGTTTTCCTTGCAGTATGGCTACCCCCGAACTGCAGGGGTTGAGTGCTTTTTTTTCTCTCGGGGATGGAATAAAACAGATATACATACCCAATCCTTAGTCCCGCAGTGGTTGGCGCTCTTCCCCTCTACTCCGTCTGTGGACTGTCTCTTGGGATCCTCGCATCTAATACAAGGCAATGGACCTGCATTAGAAATGATGACCTAAGCAGTCCTTAGACCGTCAGAGCCCGGAGTAGAAGATGCTGTTGGTACCGGTCTTAGAGCACGGCGGGATCGAGGGTCAGTTGAGTATATCTGCTTTATTCCATCCTCTAGAGAAAAATGATCACTTAACCCTTGCAGTGTGGGGGTAGCCACACTGCAGGGGTAGGTTTTTAAAATTCTCGGATATCTTCCGTAATACAAAGGTAGTATTGAGTATTCATTTTTTATTTCACATGCCTGTATGTATATTTTTCTTCCCATTTGTATGGCATTCAAACCATCCAACAAAAGTACAATTGAAAGGGCTTGTGGCAAACTATAACACTGCCAGAGGTGCTTTCATTTAAGAAAGATTAAAGTTGCATAGAAGTCAGATCTTTTACTGTTGTTTTTTGAAGATTACAGCAAACTGAGATAAGACACAGTTGTTAGGCTTAACAAAACAAAATCTCTTGGAAAGTTGTGTGTGGCCCGAAGTTAGGTGTCCTTTTGTTTAGTTTGAAGTAACATGTGTTTTGTGCGAGGACCTTCAAAAAGAATATGAAATTATAACCACGGCTTTCACATTTCAGTGATAAATGGGTTGCTAATGATGTTTGAGATGTTTCTGCTTTATCAGCGATCCCAAAGCACTGTTTTTAAAAATGAAACCTTAAAATAGCCATCAAAGACCCTTGTGCAAAACTACATAGCAAGCAGAATCCACTGCATTTATCACGAGATCGCTTTGTTTGGCAAATATGACATAATCCTTTTTGGTCTTTTAAATTTACAACACCATTAGGAGTGACCTGTTTTCCCACACATAAGAAAGACCACAAAAACTGAAGAATTACCAGTTCATATAGATGGTAAGACCTGTCTCTGAAATACTACTGTTCCTAGGGACATTTTTGCTAAGGCAAGCAAGAGCTTTGTCTGCTTATTGTCTAAAGCATAAAAGGAACCTATTCTAAACTACATGTAAATCTTCGCAGAATGCACTGTCACTAAATGCACAAGTTTGTTTTTGTGCTGTTACCATAAATTGGTAGGTATAATCTGCACATACAAAATTTAGCATGTGTAAAATTATATAACTATTTTAAATTCATAATTTTTTTCATCTTTAAAGATTATGAAGTATTTTTGGTAGTTTTATTCTAGTATTGGTATGCATGAACATTTGTGGGGCACTTCACTTGTTGTCAAATATGTACTGATTTCCTGAATACATGCTTAAAGGAGAACTAGGAGGTGAGTGATTTTCACTCACCTCGTAGTTCTAGCCGACCTGTGACAATGAGACTGTCACAGGTGGGCTAAGTAGATTGGGAAGTGAGCGAACACATACCGGCGTTCGCTCACTTCTCGATCCTGTCACGGCTCTCTGCCATGACAGGGTAGGGGCCTGGATTCCCCCCTCCCCGCTCCGATCCTCCAGCCCTGACTGGCGGAACGGATGGGGGAGGGGGCGGGTACAGCTGGCTCTGCCTCTAGATAGGCAGAGCCAGCTGTCACTCACGCAGCTGGGCGGATCCAGACATAATTGTCGGGATCCGCTTCAGCTGCGGCGTCTCAGTATACCGCGAGCTATAGCTATAGTATACTGAGCTTAGGGTGATGGGAGGACGCTAGTTTGTGTCCTCCCGTTACCCTAAGGAGAACTATGGGGAAAAGCCCTAAACCCATAGTTCTCCTTTAAAGGGTATCTATGGTCAAAAACTGAAAATAAATATGTATTTCTATAATTAATTTCCATTAGTACTATCCCACTCCTAATAACCATATTGATCTAGAAGTTTGTAAATTTATTTATTGAAGATAGGCTGTACTTCTTCACTGCAGTGACACAATTTCACTTAGCCCTGTGAATATGCACTTCCTTGTGTCACTCTCACAAAGCCTGCTGTCTGAACTACAACTCAACTCTTCCCCCCACTCTCAGAGTGAACACAGGAAGCGCCTACAATTTAACATCATCATTGCTTGCTGGAAGCAATACATGATGGGAAATGTAGTCTTGAGAAATCAAGATTGCATCACATCAAGCAGCAGGGAAAGAGAGGCAAAGCACACTGGGAATTCAGGCAAATATTAAATGTGATGGGCAGACAGAAAGCAGCACTCACTACATAAAATATTTTTTTTGCAAGTCAGCTTTGATTGCATTATCAAAAACAACTCTAGTATGTATTCCCTTTACAGTCCTCATGTTATAATGTTATAGTAAATGCTGGGATGCTTCTGAGCGTGTGTGGCATTGAATCCTCCTCCTCCTGCGGAACTTGGCAGGGTCAGGTGATGATCAAGATGTCTGTAGACTTCAGTATATGCTGACAGTCCCTACACTGAGGAGCAATAAAATGTTTTAGATTGTAAGCCCTCAGGGGCAGGGCCCTCCTTACCATCTTGTCTTGAATTGTGTTGTGATTGTAATGTCTTCCTTATAAAGCGCTGCGCAAACTGTTGGCGCTATACAAATCCTGTATAATAATATTAGCAAGGTTGAATATTTTTGGCTGTTAGAGAGATTGCATAAAGAGCACATGCGACAATCAGGTCCTGTAGTGGTTAAAACTAAAATCCAGGCATAATGGAACTGTTTTATCTGCCAAAGACTTTGTAATCCAGCCAAACTTGTGATACAGCCACCCCTTCCAGACATCATAGCCAGATCCTCAACTTACATTGAAGCAGCAACACCGCTTAATCAAAATGAAAACACATTCCCAACCTGCTGATTGGCAAATCAAGGAGCAGAAACATATTGCTGAGATTATCCTTCTGATCACACTGCTCTCTTCACCTGCTTACATGTTCACATGTACACGAGAGCAGAGCCTGATTGGTTTAGTGTTCCCACCCTCCTTCTACTAGTCTGTGTGCTTTAGTGAATGGGATTACAAGAGGATGCTATTAAAACAAATTTGGTTACTTAATATATTAGATACATTTATTATTGTTTACATGAATACCTATCTGCATTCATTGGAGTTTATGGTGTATCTGCCTGGAGATCAGCTTTGGCGTCTAGGCAATACATGAGTGTCAAACGTTCTTATTATCTAAGGCAGATATTATTCTCTATGATCACAGTGATGGCTTTCTATTCTGCATAGGAACAGAAACAGTCTGTTAACGTCACATGTGCAGCATTTGCATGCATGTTATGGTGAACTTACCCCTGGGTTTCTTTTGTTTTGATGTTGTGAATGACATACATTCACCCTTGCCGCTCCATGTCCACTAGTGCTATATTTGTGCCACTGGCGATGACCATAGGGTGGCCAGTGCTGATGCAACGTGCATATGGAATGGGGTTGTACAAATATAAATATTTTTTTTCACAAAGGGAATGAAGTTTTTTGGCTGAAGATACAAAGTTTATTGTACCCAAAAACTGGGCATGCTAGTGGGGGTAATGTTTCCACCAGGATAAAGTTAAAAATCTACCACGTAGACAACTGTGTACTATGCCACACCTCATTTAAACTAAGTTGCATTATTTGTTTTAATGAGGAAGTATTAAAGACATGAAGAGCTTGATGTATTAAAAAAAGGAAAAGCAAAAGATTAGAACCAGAGGTACTACACGTAATAACTCATTTCTATAAGGCCTTTATAAATTTAGCATAAAAGAGTGAATAAACATTGGCTTCATATTCTGTAAATGCCAATACATGTATTGAAGAACATTGAAGAATATTATAGAATCCAAAATTAATTCTCAATTACAGAACTCTGCATTGTGGGCTCATTTACAGTTTTGCAAGCGTTGTGGTATGTTAATGCATGCACATTAACATGCCTTTAGTTGTGTGTTAATGTGCTTTGCATAAAGGGAGTTTTGAATGGGCTGCCTGGGCACCACAACGAAGCCAACATTACATAAGACTTTTTTTTAATGCAGTGCCCCACATGGCATAGTATGTGCATTGTGATGCTGCAGTGCGGCGCATTGAAGTGCATGCATTGTGTTACAACACATGGTAAACACATGCATTTTACCAATCTATATTTCTTGAAAACACGATATATTCTCAGGGCAATGTATTGAGCTGTATACATTTTTAAAAATCCAGTGTATTTATATTACAACACTATTTCAAACCGCCTTTAATTGGTTATACAAACTATAAGCCTTCCTGTGGACATTTCAAAGAGCAACCTTGTCTGAACTTTTAATCATCTTTTCTGAGTGTTATATATAGTAATCTCAACATTGTAAATATGTTTCCAGATGTGTAATTTTTCTGTGTGACTATTAAAATATAAGTTGCAAAGCAAACATTTTTTTTTCTGGCATGATATGTTTTGAATGCACTTTCTTAGCTGACCTTATGTTTATTTTAATTTTTTTCAGTCATTTAAAGCAAAGGATGGTTACGTTGTAATTGGAGCAGGCAATGATCAACAGTTCTCTACTGTTTGCAAGGTAAGCAAGGCAGTGATGTAATGCAAGTGTTCCACAAAGACACAGCCTTTAATATTTCTCTTGCATTTCACTTTCTAAAACATTCTAAGTTGTAAAAATATGACTGATAGAAGGGACTATTTGAAGATAGGCTAATTGTTATTATTCTTGGCAAGACTGAGCTTTACTGGGTACCTGGGTCCTCTACATGACTCTCCAGACATGCAACATAGTTCATGTGTTTATTCTGATAGAAAAAAATGATTCACTTTCTAAATGCAGAAGTGCTTACTGACGTGCACACATCATTTTGTAATGTTCTTTTTGTTCTGATTTGTATTTATTTAAGGTGTAAGAATTACCACTTAGGGTTAGGATTACTCAGGGGTGTAGGTATTATGGATGTTCGGATACCAGTTAAGATGCCATTGACGATACTTTGCATTTTCATGAGAACTACCAGGGTTGCAGCTGTGACAGGGCCCTGGTGCTCCACCACTGTCCTGAAATCATTAATCTATATTGTTTTAGAAAACCTGTCACATGACACTAAACAAAAATGTTTCGGTAACTGTATCTGTGAGTACTTGGACAAGTATTTGTACTTGGTCTGGAAAAAATGGATACTGTTGTAATAAAGGGGTGTGAATGGCTATTAAAGGAAACCATCCTCATCTGTGATCTGTTTGCATGTAATCAGTGTATGTGTATAAAAGGCCAATGAGTTTCTGACCTCCTGACAGACCCTTGCATCCTTCATCCAGTGCTGCACTGACGTGTCTGGATTCTGAGTCATGGGGAAAGCAAAAGAATTGTCAAAGGACCTGTGGGAAAAGGTATTTGAACTGTATATAACAGGAAAGGGATATAAAACGAATTGAGAATGCCAATCAGCAGTGTTCAAACTGAACATGAGGGGTTTTGTTGAAACCAAACCATGGTCAGGTAGACCAACTAAACTTTCAGCACAACTGCCAGGAAAATTGTTCGGGATGCAAAGAAAAACCCACAAATAACTTCAGGTGAAATACAGGACACTCTGAAAACATGTGGTGTGGCGGTTGCAAGATGCACACTAAGGAGGCACTTGAAGAAAGATGGGCTGCATGGTATAGTCACCAGAAGAAAGCCATTACTACGCAAATTCCACAAAGTATCCCGCTGACAATACGCCAAACAGCACAGAGACAAGCCTCAAACCTTCTGGCACAAAGTCATTTAGAGTGATGAGACCAAAATTGAGCTTTTCGGCCACAACCATAAACGCTACATTTGGAGAGGAGTCAACAAGGCCTATGATGAAAAGTACACTATTCATGGTGTGAAACACGGAGGTGGATTGCTGATGTTTTGGGGATGTGTGAGCTACAAAGGCACAGGAAAGTTGGTCAGAATTGATGAAGGCACGATGAATGCAGTATGTTATCAAAAGATACTGGAGGACAATTTGCATGCATCAGGTCGTAAGCTGCGCATGGGACGTACTTGGACATTCCAACATGACAATGATCCTAAACACAAGGCCAAGTCGACCTGTCATTGGCTACAGCAGAATAAAGTGAAGGTTCCGGAGTGGCCATCTCAGTCTCCTGACCTCAATATCATTCAGCCACTCTGGGGAGATCTCAAACGTGCAGTTCATGCAGGACAGCCCAATAATGTACAGGACCTGGAGGCTTTTTGCCAGGAAGAATGGGCAGCTTTACCATCTGAGAAGATAAAGAGTCTCATCCACACATACCACAGAAGACTTCAACCTGTCATTGATGTTAAAGTGGGCAACACACAATATTAAGAACTGGGTTATGTAAACTTTTGATTAGGGTCATTTGGGTAGTTTCTGTTGTCATTAGGATTGAAAAAGAGTAAACACAGTTGATTGATAATAAATGGCTTCAGCCAAACACTACCCATGAGTGACAGAAAGGTTTTCGTGTTATCATTCATATTCTCTGAAAAATGGCCAGGAAATCATAAATTCTGCCAGGGTATGTAAACTTATGAGCACAACTGTGTATATAGATTTATCAAGCTAGTGTAATGTTGTTGATAAACGAGGTTTAACAAGTGCAGATGAAAACACGTGTAAAAAAGGTGCAACAAACATGGGGGGGGGGTGTATCAAAGCAGTTGCGAGTGTTTGAACTTGCACAGAATATATTTGCACCAGATTTATAAAGCTACTGTAATGTTGTTGATAAATGAGGTTTAATAGACTCCAAGAAAGAAGATTTCTAACTTCAGGCAAAAAGCTTAACTGTCGCATCTTGAAGAAGGGGACTTCTTAAGTTGTGAGTGTTTTCTTAGGTGATGCTCCAGTTTCAGACAGCCCAGAACAAGTGGAGATGAAAATACGTGCAAAAAAGGAGCAAAAAACATGCAGTTGAAAAAGTAGTGCAAGCTCTGAAGAAACAGGTGCAAAAAATGTGCAGTTGAAAAAGTAGTGCAGGCTCTGAAGAAAACAGAAGCAAAAAACATGCAGTTGAAAAAGTAGTGCAGGCTGTGAAGAAAGCAGGTGCAAAAAAACATGCAGTTGAAAAAGTAGTGCAAGCTCTGAAGAAAACAGGGGCACATGTTAAAAGACAGATTTGCACATAAAAAAATGATCTAAGAGGCTAAAACTGTCACAAGTGCTTTGATAAATGCCCCCAGTATGTTTCTGAAATCTGGGAAGTTGACCTTCCACAAGGTGTACAAATTAATATAGTTACATAGTTAGTCATGTTGAAAAAAGACACAAGTCCATTGAGTTCAACATTTAGAGATGAGAGTTACCCACTGTTGATCCAGAGGAAGGCAGACATTTACCCACTTGCTTATTTCACTCGATGTAAACATAGGACATTTCATCCCAGGAAGCACTCTGCGGGATGCATGTTATATTTCCTCTAGTCTAGCCTAGACCAGCTTTTAACCTTGAAGGGCCAACTTTCTGCTTTGTGATTCTTTTCTTGAGGCTGCTTGCCTCTTACTCTCTAGTGGAGGCCTTTGTGCAGGGGATCACTCACATTGTCCCTCCTGTACACACTTCGGTGTCTCTGTGGGAACAGAAAGGTTGTCTTCTTCATCGCCATCATTCTTGTATTGCTGGTTTGACAAAGAATCAGATAGCTTCGAAACGTGTAGCCAAACCTTTTAACTGACAGCCCCATCACCCAGCAAGATGGACCATACTGGTCTTCAGCTCCGTGCCCGTCTCTGTGTGGACTTCCACAACAATTGCCGACAACCTTTTCAGCGGCACCCCTGGTCCTGTCCAGTCGACGAGTGGCAGCCTGGCCAGCTGAGCACTCACCGGACCAGACGAGACTGCTTACTTCCAATACACAGCCCGGTTCTTTTTAATTAATTTTTAAAAAAAATTAATTTCTTTTTAATTGATTTTTCCACTTGCGCTCTCTAGTCGCTTTCACCTCACATGTGCCTCTACTATACCTCCTCCATCATCAAAGGACTATTTAAGAATTGACTTGAATCGACAAGTCTCCGATCATACCCGCACAGATAAGCCGTATGAGCACTTGTTTCAAGCCTACAATACTATCCACCCTCCATCGGCAAGACGACATCTCGTGCACCTAAAAGTGAGTCCCTATTTTCAGATACCATTGTAAGGTTTATAATCTGTTCTAACAAGACAATCATCCGGGTTGTAGCGCTTCTTCTTTTGCTCTTTTACACATGTCCCTGAATTGGCAGCCTTGACTTATGAAGAGCCCTTTCTGGTAGTCAAGAAGATTATGTTAGTGCTGACGACTAGGACCTCCTTTCTTTCTCTCTGACTGCCACCACACAGGGATATTGTCCTACTGTGCTTATGTCCTGCTTCAAAACATTCTAAAGAAAATTCCCACCACTGTTTGTACATGGTTCAAGCAGTTTGTGTTTAACTCTCTTCTACTGATTCAATCTGCAAGTCTGACTCCCCTTCATCATTCCTGTAGGTTCCCTTATGTGGCACCCAGCTTTTAGATTCATTTTTGCTAGGTTGATTTGGCAAACTATCAATTAAGCATGTGAGTTGAAGGGTAAAGTTCCCCCCTATTCTGGTAAATACTTACTTTTCTAGGAGTGTTAGTACTTCTTGGGCCTTCCAGCATTGGTTTGGGGTTTCCCAAATCTTCAAGGCTGCCACCTAGTTCTTTGTTCACACATTTACCAAGTGTTACCAGGTAGCCTTTCAGTCCTCTGCAGATGCTAGCTTCAGCTGCAGGGTTCTTCAGATGACCCTCTGACTTTTGGGCCTCTTCTGTTACAGTTCCTTTTGCTTGTGGTTTCTCATGGGCCTGCTTAGGTTTGTCTTTCTCATGGGCGTGTTAGCTGTGGTTTTTTTGTGTTGCCCACCCATGGTTGGATAGCTTTTGGAAGTCCTATCTGTTCCAGAATTAATTCCCTGTGTACATCACAGAACACAGGACCCCCCCCCCCCTTCTGTTTTCTGTGATCCACTGTTGTACTGCTTGCTACAAAACTAGTGCAGTCTGGGGATGGGTGAGGTTATAGATGGCTGTCCTAACAGCTTTGATTTTTGTCTAATCACCTAATGGTAACTGCATGACCCATCTGTTCAAGAATTTACTCCCCGTGCCCTGTGATGTACTCCAAGAAACTGATTTTACAGGTAAGACAAACATCCTGTTTTATTTTGTAGGATATCCAACAATTTATCAAATATCTGGCTTTTTTTACTCTTGACTCCATTCCTTACCATAAATACATACTATTGAATGATGCTACACATGGTTAAACAGAAAAACCTTGTCTATTCAACGTGTAAAGCAGACCCTTGGCATGCATCCTAAGTTAAAGGCTTGTCAAAGAGTGCTATTTGCTAATCGTAATTGGTATAAAAATTGAAACATGCAGTGTGGTCATCAAGGAAAGTCCTAAAATGTATTTTAAATAAGTGTGTAGAAAATGAATTTCGGCCTTTCATCTTTGATTAAAGAAAGGCTTCATAGGAAGGGTCAGTGGTACAAATGCCAAACACTTCTAGAGAGCAGTCTGTGAAGTTATTTACA